AATATTTTAGGAGGGCTTGTGCCCTTTTGCCCTTTTATTACGCCTTTAATAAGTTATATAAAAAAAAAATCTCTTTTTTAAAAGATTTTTTTCACATAACTCAAGATTTAAATTTAAAAATTTTAAAACTGTGCATCATATATTGCATGGTAGAATAAAAGAGAAAAAAATGAAAAATCAAAAGAATGATATAGATGGCGAAGCTTTAAATTTCTTTCTACTTAATTTTTTATTAAAACTTATGATATCATATGATTCAATTCGTTTAAAAAAAATGATTTAAAAAATCTTTTTTATACAATTTTACCTGTTATCATTTAAATAATAATAATTATTATTTTTATTTAGAATTTATAATATTGAGTATAAAAAGTGATAAGTAATTAAAAGGCAATTGTGACACCAAATTTTTCATTGGTTGCCTATTGCCGACTTCCTTCTCGGTTTCTTCTTGTACTTACAATTTTAACCCTAACACGTGGATTAATACAGAGCCAGCATGGGGTTGAAATTATAAATACGAAAAGAAACGATGGAGAGAGAGAAACCCACCTCCTCCAAAGTCCAAACCACGTTGTTAAAATTTGAAATGGACCCACAAAAAGAAACAATGGGCTCATCCAGACCACACTGTTAAAATTTCAACTGGACCCACAAAAAGAAACAATGGAGAGAGAAAAACCCACCTCATCCAGACCACATTGTTAAAATTTCAAATGGACCCACAAAAAGAAACAATGCAGAGAGAAAAACAATGGGGATAGTTAATCATCGGTTAAATTTAATTTTTTGTTTATTAACTATTAGTCTCTTTTTATTTTAGTCTAAAAAATTTAATTTTTTTAAAAATCATTTATAAACTTTAAAAATTATTTTAAATTCATCTACCTAAAAAACTACGATTAGCTTTTTTAACATAATCTCATGACATGCTTACGTGACACCAATTGTATAGCACATGTAGTTCTAAAAAATTACACTTTAACTCTAAAAACTTCACAAAATTTTCAATTAAGTTTTATATTCAAAACATTCTACTTTCTTAATGAAATTTTTTCTTCTTTTTTTTTAAAATTTTTTTAATAAATTTATATGTTTTAATTTTAATTAACAACTAAAAAATTCATTATTGTCATTATTAGGATAAAATTATATCATTTCTTTTTTTTATTTAGTTCAAAAAATTAATTTTATTTGTATTATCTCTTTCTCAAAAATATATATTTGTATTATCTCTTTCTCAAAATAACTTTTGATTAATTAACAACTAAAAAATTCATCATTGTCATTATTAGGATAAACAAATATATATTTTTTACTTTAACCTTATTATTATCTATTTACTTTAATTAATCATCCCATCACAAAATGTTTCTCTTCATTTTTTATTTCTTTTTAAGGGTAATATAAATAAACATAAATTATCCTCAAATTCTTAATTTGAAAAAAAAAAAAAACAAAAGTTATTTTGAGAAAGAGATAATATAAATAAAATTAATTTTTTGAACTAAATAAAAAAAAAAAAGAAATGATATAACTTTATCCTAATAATGACAATGATGAATTTTTTAGTTGTTAATTAAAATTAAAACATATAAATTTATTAAAAAAAAAAAAAAAAGAAAAAATCTCGTTAAGAAAGTAAAATGATTTGAATATAAAACTTAATTGAAAATTTTGTGAAGTTTTTGGGGTTAAAGTGTACTTTTTTAGAACTATATGTCCCACACAATTGGTTTCACGTAAGCATGCCATGTGATTCTGTTAAAAAAGCTAACGGCAATTTTCTAGATAGATGAATTTAAAATGATTTTCAAAGTTTATAACGATTTTGAAAGAAACTAAATTTTTTAAACTAAAATGAAAAAAAAGTAATAGTTAGTAGATAAAAAATTAAATTTAGCCATAAATCATCCTAACAACTACTAGATCCTCTTTTTATGCGCAGATGTTGCTTGATAAAAATGGATTGAAAACTTCGTGGTGTTGCTTAGCATTGGCAGAAGTAATCTGGCAATTTAGGTTGAGAAATAGGCATTACCTGACCTACTGAACTGTTATGCGGTTTATACTTGAATTTTGTATTGAACTTCATGTTGGAAATGCTTTACCTTCTTTCATTGTAGTTGAAACTTTTTGATGCATCAATTATCCTTATCTTTTTGGCACCTTCAATTTTATTGTTTAATCTTTTTTCTTTTTTGGTATATTAAAAATCAGATAATTAATTATTTGATATTGTAAAACTTTTAAACTTATGATCTTAACCTTAAATAAAGTTTTAAGTTAATCGTTATCAACTTAACCAAGTAAGCTCTTGGTAGTTTTTATTGTTTAATTTAATGGATGATCAAAAGGCTCAATTATAGCGTGCATTGGTATCTCTTTTCACCGTATATAAAATGGTTTGTAATTTGTGTATGCTACAAACACGTTTATAGGTGTTTGTAGTTGAAGTATGCAAGTAGTTACTCCTATCTTGGAGTTAAGTGGGATTATGGGCAATTTCCCCATTGTTGAAATTCCACGCTATGGTCCTTCCCTTTCCTTCGACAGGAGACAGGGACATGAGAACCGATTTATTCGTTCCTGAGCATAGAATCAAGTTTGCACTCGGGAAATAGAAATTACTGGCTTGATATCAAGTGTATTCAATTTCAATTTGGGCTGCAAGTTGGTCCTGGATTATCCATGACCAAACCTGATCCAACCCAATCTAATCCGTTGGATTGGGTTCGTTCCTCATGTAATTTGGTTTTACTTTGGTTGGACTCTTAGGAAATCGAGTTAGTTGGTTTGGGTTGAATCAGAACCAGTTAATCCATAAAACCATGAGTTAAATTTTTTTTTTTTGAATATTAATTGTATAACAGAATGTAACTATCATTTTTTATTTTTTATTTTATTTTATTTACATATTATATAATTTAAATTTAAAATTTTTTATTTCTAATGAAATGAAACTATATCAAATTACTTAAATAGTTGGCACCATAAATTTAAATTTTAGAGTTTGAAGTCGAAATACAATTTCTCACTTTCTTTTCAAATATGCATCCCGTACAGACTGTACGGTTTCTTTATTGTTCGTCATGCTCGACACATATTTGCAGTTTTTTCTTCTTTTTTTTTTCTTTTGAATTAGTTTTTAGATATGCATTTAAATGATTTTTTATTAATTTAATTACTTCTTTAGTCCCTCTATTAAATTTTAATAACCCTAATTTGATTTTTTTACTTTTAAAATATAAATTTTAAATAAAAACTTAATAACTTATATGAATAATAATTAAAAGAATTTTTTAAATATAATTCTTATTAAGTATTTTTATTTGTTAAAAAAATTTACTTATTTAAATTTTCATATAAAATTAAAGTTTAAAAAATTAAAAAGTTAAACTAGAACTACTAAAATTAAATAGAAGAAGTATAATTTTCTTGACTAATATCAACATTTCCATTTTTTTATAGGTTTGATGATGTTTTTACATCTAAGTTCTCCCATTTTTCTTTTCATTCATGCCAGTTGAGCAATTTATCATTCAATTTTTAAAAGAAAATAACCTAGTACTAAAATCGTAAATTTTTTGTAAAAATTTGAAAATTATTTATCAAAAATTTTTTTTCTTCTTATTCACCTTTAAAATTTATCATTCAATTTTTAAAAGAAAATAACCTAGTACTAAAATCGTAAATTTTTTGTAAAAAGTTGTAAATTATTTTATAAAATTTTTTTTCTTCTCATTCACCTTTAATAAGTTCAGATTAATTGTATTTACTTTTAGATATGTTAAAAAATAATAAAATTATTTTTTTCTTATTTACCATTAATATGAACTTAACTTATAAAAATCCAATGCTTGTATTCAACAATTTGTTAATTTTTCAGATTAATTGTATTCATTTTTAAATATGTTTAAAAATAATAAAATTATTTTTTTTCTTATTTACCATTAATATGAACTTAACTTATAAAAATCCAATGCTTGTATTCAACAATTTGTTAATTTTAGTGTTTAATTTTGGCTTTCAAATACCCTATCTCTTCTAAAATAATTGTTTCCTTCTATTAAGTTAAAAACGACTATTGTTTTAAAACAAACATAATACTTCCCCCATCCCAAAAACCAAAAAAATGTTTTTCAAGTAAATATACATAAAATAAAGTTGAATTACTTGTTAAAATATTTAAATTTATTAATAAATTCTCTTACATGTTGAAGGGTATTTAATTAATTTTATAAATATATTTATGCTTTTTTTTCATAAGTCCACTTAAAAATTTACAACTTCTAATTTTAAATAAATAAAGAAACTAGTGTCCCAAAAATAAAAAGAAAGAGAGAGAAAGAATTAAAGAAATAACTATTCCAAAACAAAATAAAGATATGAAGGCCGAAAAAAGAGACAAAAAAACAAAGTAAAGAAATGAACGTGGAGAAATGCAGCACACATTTGGAAGTGATAGATGGTCTTATCACGTGAGACCATGACTAGACCGAAACCAATCCAGTAAAAAAATGGATTTTATTGGATAAAATCCAACATTGTTTGGATTGGTTTTAATCCATAATTCATTAAAACCAAAGTATCATGGATTGGGTCAAAATTCAGACCAAACCATAAAAACCACCCAAGTTGCACCCCTAATTTCAATGAAAAAATATTGACTCGACAGTCTAATTTAATCAAATTAAAATTAATTAATTCCATTTAACTATTCACTAAGCTTTTTTTTTTGGTAAAAAACTATTCACTAAGCTAATCATTATACTCATTCCATTATATATTTGATTTGAAATTTTTTTTTTTTTTGGTTTATTTAGCAAAACTGGTTGGCTTGACCCAATCCAAAACACAACTCATGCACCTGAATAGGTTTAAACAGATCAAAAACCCCCAATCAAAACAGAGAGAAAACTAGGGTTCCTGCCATTCATTTTATACTCCTCACTTTTTTCAAAAATAAGATTAAACCAAATCAAACATCCAACCACACGACCTAAAACACAGCATAAAATCTCAACACAAAAATGTATCATTTCATCGACCAGTTCTACATATCTAGAGATCTAGATTCACAACCAACATAAATGCATGTACCAAGAAAGCGGCAAAGATTGAGAGTTAGATTTTTGCTTCGGATCCAGGGTAACCCACCCACGGGATAGTCCCTGAA